CAGTTTTGAAGGATATAAATTAGAAATGTAGACCATAAACACGTGTTCACTACGTTTACAGAGGTATTAAATCAAGTCAGGACAAACGTAATACTTTAACTGACTTCTAGACAACCTTCGTTCGTCGTGACAAAGACGTTCAAGGCGCTTCCGCCTTGGCGTCGCCTGTCCGACTCGGCGGCTGCTTGTGAGATGAAGTCCTATCAATCAAAATCCCGTCAGACTATCCTTTCTAATCTCCGCCTCACCATAAGAAAAAAAAAAAAAAAACTCTTTTGTGTACGCCTCGTACCCTTGACATTTACGTAATACTTCAGTCATGTGTGCCAGAGAGCGCCGACCGCCTGCCAGTAACACTGGACCTTTGTCACTGCGCTTTCACCGGCGCTCAAATGTTCTTCCATTCAATCAAAACATTGGCGCTGTTTGACATTCCGTCCTCGTAATGCTTTCACATGCTCCCGGTCTCATTTGCATACCACGCAGTAGCTGTAGTCTCAACACAATAATGTACCTGCGTGATCTCCTTGACCTTCTTTCAAATTGCTGATAAAGGATCAGAAGGTGGCCCCTTCTCACTCAGACATGTTGTCTGATCTGCAAACGCTGACCTGAAGATTCTTTTACCTCTTCCAACGAGCTGCATATTAATGGGAAAAACCAGATGAAAGGGAGCCGGCCAGAATGAACCCCGCGTTTCAAACTAAAATGCACAATAGGCACTAGTGAGTGGGAATCTTTGTTTTTAATTGCCGGTTCACTGGTCCATGTTCGCTTGAGTCAAGACAGCACTGCCCCCACATTGGTCTAATTTAGTCCTTGCTCTTTAGAAATGTGTTGTACATACAAATGTTTCCCATGTTTTTTTGTTTTTTTTGTGTGTACTTTATTAGTCATAAGAGCAACTGTCCAATATGCCGCCCCCACTCTCTCATTTATCACAGAGGGCGAAGACGAGTTTATCTGTGACGAAGATCTCTAGTCGTCAGATGACGATCCGCATGGTGCCGCTCCCTTGTAAATAGACTTAAGATTAGGCCTTTGGATTTGAGTCGCGGTGGATTTGGGGACACCAGCGGATACAGTAGTTACATAACGATCCGTTTAACAGCAAAACACTGCGTGAGCAGTTGCTTGGTCAGAAAAAAGCGAGATTATAAAAGACAAAACATAAATTAATAGAATGAATATTTCTGAAAAATGGCAACCATAAATAGCATCAATAACTCAAGGATTCCGGCTTTAAAGTCAGTTCGCTTTCCTAACTCAGAGATCAGACTAGAGGTTTCGAGCAAATCAAAACTAAAACCGACAAATATAAAGTATTAACAAGATTTCCTGTCAGTAATTCAAATGAATAAAGAGCAACATAGATGGTGTGACACCATGCTCTCGTTTCTATCTATCATGAAAGAGCCTTTTATACTTATCATCAACGGCATCCCAATTACATCTCCTCTCTTTGCATTCGTCTCCGTGCGGTTTGACAGAGTAAATCAACCCATTATAACCTTCCTTCCAATCATGATGCTTTGCAGCGGAATATGGCAGCTGCCTGCAGCCTTTGATTTCGTCTCGTCCCAGATCTGCATTGTAATGAGCACTCAGGTCAATCAATAATTCACTGCAGTTTCAGTCATGAAGAAGAAAAAAACAGATCAGCTGATTGGTAAAACAGGAAGATGACTTTGATCAGTGGTGTTGAGAGGCACATAAAGCTGTTGTGAGGCTTTCTGCTAGAGGGGAAGTGCAGGTGGAGCCCGCGCCTCTTACCGAGGGTTCTACATGGACTGAATAGCGTATGTTGGCGGAGTGTCATCGCTGCTGATTGGCGGCAGAGTCGATTGTTATTTAGAGGGTCCTGCTGTGCCGTGTGCAAAGATGTTTGTGCCTCAAACCGCACCATCTACTTAAGTTTCCGAGTGAGTACGGGGTAATCCGTTTCTCACTGGGAAGTCATTTACCCCCTGAAAAGGCACACGTGGTGTTTGTCTTCTCAAGACAAATGATCTTTATGGAAAAAAAAACTGTCAAGCACCCTTATTGAATAGGAATGGACGGTGTGATGAGGTTAGCTGCCGTGCAGGGAAATCCTTGCAGGTGCCATTTGTTCTTGTCTAAGCGGTTCAGACTTCCTGTATCTTAACGTGGACAATCAATATATCAGACTGATAACTGCGTCGTCAAGTCAATAAGCCATCGTTATGCACTCAGCGAAATGTATGCACGTTACATAAACAGTGGGAAGATGAATGAATAACACATTCCATGTCCATTCACACTACACGATGGTATTTTCTTGAAGTCCTCATCCGGCTGATGCCCTCTCTTTCCCCGTGTCCGTATCGTTAGTGCCGCCAGAGGACCCCGTCATCAGTGGGGGGCCGGTGGTGAGCCTGAGGGCGGGCGACCCACTCAACCTGACCTGCCACGCCGACAACGCCAAGCCGGCGGCCTCCATCCTCTGGATCCGCAACGGAGAGGTCCTGAATGGGGCCATGTACTCCAAGGTAAGCACAGAGGTGTGTGTGTGTGTGTGTGTGTGTCAGGGTCCAGCGCCGGCTGGGCGACAGGGTGGGAGGGGGGGTTAATGAAGGCAGAGGGATGGAGGGTGGCCGTGCTCGCTTTCCACCCAGGCCGGTGTGTTTTTCTCGAAGCATTGCGAGATGAGTAATGAAGACACTTGTTAGTCTACATGTTTGCATGTCTTCCTGGGCTGTAAATAAGCGAGGCACAAGTGCTCAACACTGGTGAGATGTGTCGCAGTGACGGCCTGAGTCATCGGTGGGCGTTCGCCTCGGCATCCAAACTGCTCCCTGAAATAAAATCCCTTGAAAATCCAGGTTGTGGAAGCTGTCTGGCCTTCTTTCCCGATAAACAAATGCACTCAGACAAGCAGATGGCGAGATCGGGGAACTATCAGCGACTCTCTGGGGTGTTTTGATCTCCTTCTTCAGTGGCATTTGTCTCTCTTCATGTTCCCAACCTGTTATGAAATCCACCGCACCGTCACTCCCCGCGATGGAATGTGGCCGAGCATTTTCGCGGAGGAGTCTGATCCCCGCTGACGGATCGCGTCCCCGCGTTTGCCGCCGGTCGGACGCCGTTCACGCCAGCCTGGTGAGGGTGACCTGCTGACCCCAGCGGACTCTCGACTGGCATTCGACCTCAAGGCTAATCATGCGAGCCACGCTGTCATGTTCTGTTTCTATTTAAACAAAGGACCTAAAGAGATCAGGCACTTTAGAGCACCAACACGTCCCCTGCCTCCCCTCCCTCCCTGCGCTGCCTCATCCCATTATCGGCTTCTTTTTTTTTTTCAAAGAGCAGATAAATGTCATTGATTGGACCGGGGCACGGCGCCGGGCCGATTTGAATGAAGCGATTTTTGGTGGGCGGAGAACGCGCTTCCTGTCTTCACTTCCTCTCTGGAGGACGGCAGACGTGAGGACGTTCTGTGCTGGTAGCTGGTGGATGATCACATGTCTGCTCAAAGCCGACTATGTCGCTCCTTCCTCGTCTCTCTATTGCCTGCTATTAAAAAGCAATGGATTTGATTAAAGGACGATGAGTTTTTTTGGGGGTGGGACGGGGCGGGGGGGTCCAAACAGGAGTAGAGGGACATTTTGTAAGCATAATCATCTGCTCTGATGGTCCTCTCCTATCCCAAAGAGCAAGAGGACTAATGAGAGCAGATGTGGTGCAGGATTCACAAAAATGGCTTTCCTGATGGTGTCACATCTAACGACAGTTCTGACCCAAAGATAATCTCCCGCCACGGCGTCTCTATGACCTCTTAGGAAACTATTTACTGGACCGGTGGTTTAGCACAGTGCATGATTCAGGCTGTCGCTTGTGTAAAAAATGTATGTCGGCTTCACTATTTAAGAGTCACTGTATCGCACAGCTCATCATTAGTGAGGGCAGCCATCAAAAGGCAGAGCTTTATTCTATTATGTACGGGGCTCTCCAGATAAATAAGTGGCAGAAGCTTTTCACTCTGTGGTGAATGGTTAAAATAGCAACATTAGCTGTGGAAATGTGGGCAGAGGAAATTAGTGAGTAATGTTCTCTCCTCCCTCAAACACTCGTCTCCCATCTGCTCCAGTGGAGCTGCTCGGTGGCACAACGGAGAAGGGCGGCTCGCTCCATGCGGCCTGCGGCTCTGATTTGGGATTTGGACGTGCGCACACTTGCTCTGAGATACTTTTGCACTGAAATGGTGCAGCAGATTCTAGAAAGAAATAACCCAAACGGATTCCCAATCCGCTACATTTTATGATTATTGAGCAAATTGAGAGGTGAGGAGGAGAATGAAGTTTTCTCAGTTTTTGGGAGGAATCAAATATTTTTCACGAGCTCTTCTTGTTGGCAGGAGCGAAATGCCGTTGCTTTTGTGCATCTGATAAAAATTTTAAAGGATATAGTTTTATGTAGAAACTAATTCCCAATCTCTAATCCTATAGGGTGTTTTTTTCTATCTTCCTTTAAAGGCACAATTTTCACTTCTGCATGAAGTTAATGTAAAATGTAAAAGTAATCAAATGTTTTAGAACAACCCTGACCAGAATGTAAAATGGCTAATCTTATACAACCCAAAGAAGCATTTGATATAAAATCAAAGGCGGATTGGATGGGTGGGCAGAATGTTAATGATATATTAATTATTAGCCTTTGCACAACCCCTGTGGGAGGTTTCAATACAAAAGTTGATCTGAACTCATGTAGTTTATAGTTATAGTTACTGCCGCCAAACATGATGTGATAGTAAGTAAATAAAAAAGTCCAATGATTGTGCCAAATCCCAGATTACCTGTTGTGTGTTCAAAGACAGACTTTTTTGTTTAAACCGGGCCTTTAATGAGACATTTTCCAGAGGAAGAGTTCACCCGGTGCCCGATTCAGGCCATCAGTGAATTAGCTTGGCCGGCAACACACCAAGCTGTATCCAACAGATAATGCGATGTGTTTATAATTAGTAGATAATCCAGATGGAAAGGCTTTGTGGAGCCGCTGTCTGGTCTCCTACTGACGGGTCGCCCTCTTGTTAAAGGAGTGTTAGAGCTTTGAGTAAAGCTAGCTTAGCTAGCGTTTATGTTGTGACAATCTGTCTCAAAACAAAGGCCGCGGTGACCAATCGGTGCGACACCTCAACGCCATTCAAAGGCCGAGGGATTATGTAACTGATGTTTGCATGAACCAACTTGATAGGCGACACGTTGGCTTTTAGTTGTGTCTCTTTTGCTCAGACGTTACCGGCTTTGTGCCCTTGAAAAGAATTTTTAGAAAAGCAGTATCATTTCCGCTCCTCACCGAGTAGTCTTAAGAGTATTCTTCACTTAGGCTCCATGCAGTGATAGGAAAAGGTATCAATTTGTAACGTAGCATGGTTCTGATTTCCATGCAGCAGCCAGCCAACCCCCTTCCTAAGATTAATGACTTCTGACAGAAGTCCAGAGCGACGAAGGAAACAATCCTGATGGTGTCAGAAAGGATATTACACTGACATATCCCGCCTCTGACAGCCAATGTGTTCTGCTTTTGGAGTGACTCACGCACAATAATGAATTTTTATCACATGGTTCCTCGATTTCTAATGCACTTCACAGGAACATGGATCGCATCTAGAATATCCTTACACTTACAAAGTGGTTAATAACATCATCCGATACAAACCCCAGGCCTTTTGAATGTAACATAAGAAGTGGCTTTAGCTTCTTAAACTTTCAAGTGATTAGAAAAGAAAGAGTTCTTTTCAAAGTATCTCCATGTCAGATTTTAGATTCAATGGCGTTTGACTTATATTATTTAGAATATGGTTTCCTTACGAGAAGGGTTACACTATGTACAGTATGTTAGATTGAAATAGACCAATGACAAAATCGTATATTTCGAGTCTGACATGAATATTTTCCCTGAAAGTAAAAGTTATCCACGAGGCGAGCCGTACATCTGTGAAGCAAATACACGGTAGCGGTGCAGTAAAGCGAGTCCCCGGTCAACAAAGCACTTCTGCTTCTATTTTAAGAAAACATTCGATGCACTTCACTATAGCGAGGCCGCTCTCCTTCAAACACACAAAGAAACCGTGATTCTCCTCTAAAGAGAAGGCAGGGAAACGCATGCAGACGTTGAGGTTGACCACACTGCGCCCCGGTGCCCACGCAATTTGTTCTAGTCAGCGACTTTGTTTCCTCCCCGCACTGGTTAACATTGACTCCCAGCGCCTTCCCCACAGCGCTTTCTTTTTTTTGGGGGGGGTGAGAGCTACCAACCGATTCCAGATGGCTTCCACGTCGCAGGGCTCAGAGGATGAGCGCTGGAAAGAAGATTGATTTCCTTTGTGGGGTATGACAAGCCATGCACTAGAGCTTCTTTTTTTTTTTCTCATATCAATCAGCTTTGCAGTAAAAGCGCAGCTCAAGTGTTCTGAAGGTTTTCCTCTGGTGCCCCGAGGGACAACATGTGTATTCATGAATGTGCTGCTGTTTTGTTGCTGTTTTTCCCCCACTTTTACATCTCCTCCGTCAAAGTTCATCTTGCGAGCCGTTTCTTCCATACCTCACTTAAACACTTCAGATTACATCTTTACCCAAAACTCCCGAGGATACAATAAAATATGGATTTAAAGTTTGGTTCATGCTGTAAAGAAAAAATCAGTTCCAAGCACGACAACCGATCAATCAACCGACCTGTAGAGGGCCGCCTGTGACGTTAATGTCCCCTTTACTCAACCTGCCTTTGCTCTTTGCAGACATTGCTGCGGGACGGCAGGAGAGAAAGCACCGTCAGCACGCTCTACCTGCTGCCTTCCAACATCGAGACGGGTCAGCAGATCATCTGCAAGGCCTCCAACAAGGCGGTCCCCAACGGCAAGGAGACCAGCGTCACAATCGACATCCAGCGTGAGCATCCCACTTCCCCCTCACTGCCGCCGGTGTCTCTCCCGTCCCTCCCGTCCCTCCCACTCTGGCACTTTTTGCTTTTTTTGAAGTCCCTTGTCTAGCAATCAGTGCTGATGGGAGCAGCAGGGAAAGGTCTCCCGGTGGGCTGCGCTGCTCAGTTTTTGAGGTATTTCTCACAAGCAGAGGCTCGAAACTGTCCGTCAGGCATTTGTGACTAACGCTATATAAACAGCGAGGATTCATTTTCGGCTCAGATGGACGTGTATAATTGGTTTCCATTTTGCTTTCATGCCGTGTAGGTGGCTGCGTGGATTCGTGACGCATTGCATTTTGTGTTGGCTGTGATGAAATATCCAAAAGGTGCTCTGCATGTGAAATGGATGGGATTGTCTTTCTTTGGTTCAACTACCTGCCTGCGGTTGCGCTGCTGCACACGGTCTCCACCTCTTTTTTTATTTCCTGGGCCTCGCCATCCATCTTTTTGATGAGCTCGTGCACGATTCCCCTCTAAAACAGGCAAAGTAAGCCCGGCGTGTAAAACGCATTCAGCCTCAATTGTCTGGGAATCTTTTTCCGATCAAGAACCGTTCCCAGTAAGAGAGGAGCTTTGAAGGGATTTTGCACCACTCGCGGCCCCTTCAACACCATTAAGTATGACTAATAAAGCAGAAAATGCTATTTGCAGAGGCAATGTGACTGACGGCTCCATTCTTTTCATTATGTGCACGGCGAGAGGCGAGCAACGGCAAGTGCGGGCACGGCGAGATCCTGGCCACTCGGGCGCAGGAGCGAGAATGATTAACAGTTGCCGCTTGTCCTCGTCATATTCCTTTGTCATGCAGTCTGCCCACGTGTAAACACAAACGATTTGTCACCACGTATGACGGTGTGTCAACGAGAAGTGCACGTCGTGGTGGCATCATCTTCCCTTCTGAATATTTGCTGTAACCCTGAACACTCGAGTGCATGCAGATTGCTAATCAGCGTTCCCGAAATGTGCTCTTTACACAATTACGGCTGCCGACAACATTTTTTCACAGTGTGAGATCAGACTGAGCGACAGCGCAGACTAATTGTCGAGATTCAAGTTGTCTCCCGCAAGGCTTAGCCTCTCGTTTCCCTCCCTCCCTCCCCTCCTTCTCACTCCCTTCAGACTTGTCAGGTGAAGTGTTCAGCACAGTTCAGCAGAGCCTCCGGAGTTTGTGCCACTTTCAAATTAAGCTTCTCCTGAAATGAAACGTGCCGTAATTGAACTTTGATTCATTCGTGTTGGGCGTCGATTTGCTTAATTTCATTCCATCGCAAGGTTCTTGGCTCCAAAACAGCATGTGGAACGCTGCGTGATAATTGAACAAAGGCAAAGGAATATAAACTATGGTGCAGGTTTGCACCTGTTCTGCTCTTTCAGCTCAACCCTGAACTGTGCAGTTTTCTGCAGAAACATTTAATACACGTCAGCAAGATGTTATGAGTCTTTTCTTGTGTAAAGGAGTGTCCTGCGATTACCCGAGCCAATTTATTACATTAAATTAAATAATTAAATTTAGATCAAAATAGCTTCAGCTTTGTGTCACATTCATGTGAACTCTAATCAGCAAAGTGTGGCAACATAAAATACTTTGTTTTTATAACTGTGACAGGAGTGAAGATTTCTCGTCCTCAACATTTGCTGTTGATCCCCCCCCCCCCCATGGAAACAGTTTATTCCAAGATGATGTATTGATGAACTAAAAAATTTGCGCATATGGTTGCCGTAAAAATATGAGAAAGAAAATGCTTCGGTTGGTCATGTTCAGGTCAATAGCTGTATGTTTCTATGTCATATTTAATTATGCAGTGAATTGACTTCATCTGACAATTTAGCGCGGACAAATCCAACACACACTAAAATAGGCCCCTTAACCAAATATTTTATTCCCCGTAAAACTTCACAGCCCCTTTATTTGTACTCGCAAGTGTTCAAAATTCTCTTGATTTTAAGATTTTTAATATGCAGTTAAAAAATCATCCAGAATAAAAAGATGAAGCCATGACCCTGTACTGTCATCGCTGATGAAAGAATAATCAATATGGTGTGTTGATTTATTATGAAGCACCAGAAAAAGGCCCAAAAATAGTGCATGGAGGGAGCAAGAGAAACGGAACAATGCACCTCAATTTCTTCTGCCAGCACTCTGATTGAGCCTCAGAAAAGGTGAAAACCTGCATCCATCAGGGAAAAAGTTTCCCCTCAGTTGCTCTGAGATCAATGTAACATCTGCAGTAAGAAGCAGGTATAAATCAGAACGAAACACCGCTTCGTCATTGTCGGCATGCGTATTGAAACATATTTAGTGGGCGCCAGATATTAAATATGTTCAGAAGAAATTGCTCCTTGTAATGTTGAATATCCTCAAATAATATTTGCTATCAGTTAAACTGAAGCCTGATTGCTTCTTTTTTTCATCCTTGATTGCATTCGTTTTCGTTTATCCGTCCCTCTGAATGTAGATGTTCTCATACAGTGTAATCGGTAACATTTCAAGCTTTCCTCACAGAGGGATTATGTAGTTTGGCAATAATTCGTGCCCATAAGGAAAAGCCCCAGAGATGTTGTGTTGATGTGATCGTTCTGTCTGTTTTGTGATTGTCCAAAGCATAACACACAAAATGCTGCCGCTACAGAGCGTCTAAATCTCTTTAATATATCAACATATAAATGGCTGTGAAACTTATTTTCTATTTTGCAAGAACTAGAGTTAATTTATGTTGAAATAAATTCATCATCGACCGTATATATAAATATATTTTTTGTGGAACCTTTAAAAAAGGGCAACAAAACAAGCAATAGAATCTCATTATCTCGGCCTGAGATTGGCCTGCCATAATTAGTTGCCGTGCACTCATCTGTTTTAGTGGTGCTGCAACATGCACGAGTCCTTCAAGAGAGACGCAGAGATCAATGTCGGTCTCGGGTGAAGGGCTCCTATTACTCTTTGATCGGACGTTGTTGAGGGCCGGATGCAGTAAGTTGAGGGTTGAGTGCTCACCACCACCACCACCACCACCACCACCACCACCACCGTCCTCCCAACGTCTCAGTGAGTTATGGAAAAGGCCCTTTGATATCTGGGCACAGCTTTTACCTTACTTGGAGTTAAAAGTGGAAAAGTGCAACCTAAGCACTCCTAGGTCCTCTAATCTGAATTAGATCCACCTTTGCCGAGCCTTCAAATGTTGTTTAATTTACCTTTTTCATTTTAAAAATAGTTTTTGTTAAATGTTTTCGACCCTCAAACAAATACAAGGCTCAGACCGTTAAAAATATACTTTTTTCTTCTGGCTCTGTGGTGATGATTGCAATTAAATATGATGTCCTGATTTAACTACACAAGACACAACATGAGTTACTGTCTCTCAATTGCCGCGTATTCCCTGAAACGTGAGCATTTACACTCTCTGGATAAATGTGTTTATTCGTCTGTAAGTCCTCAGAATTAATAGCCTCACTTACTTTCCTGTCGAAGTGTTCGAAGTGACCGTACTAGAGATAATATTAATGGCATCAAAAGCAATTAAAAAGTTCTCAGTCGGCCTGCCCTTCTCAACATTCCGTAATCCAATCGCCTGTAAACTCAGCCCAAGTGAGAGTAATCTCAACACAAACCCGGCACAGAGCTCCATAGAGCTTAAACAAGCCTAGAATCCTGTGCACGCCGCACCGGTATTTTCCTTTATCATCACCTAAATGCTCATGATTTCCGACACACTGTACACCTCAGCATTTCCCCTCCGACTCCAGTTCATACATATTAATCTGAACACGGACAAATTAGCATCTAAATACGTTACGTACAGCGATTTAAAAGGGTTTAGAGGAATTCAACAGTCTGTTTATTATTTTTTCACACTGCTGAATCCAGTTGTCCATGCCGCTCCATTAGCTGACTGTAATTATTTGATATCTGGCGGGCGGCGCCCCCCCCCCGCTGCTGTTTGCTCCAGCAGCAGGACTTAACTTGCATTATGCCTTTTTTGACTTCAATCACTACTCCTCTGCCCCCCCCCGACACAAAACCACTGCAGTGAAACTCAAACATGTTTTAATTCCAGCTGCATATCTGCACTTTCAAACTCATATCGGGAAGCTGAGGCGCTATCGAAGCCGAGCTTCTCCGCGTGTTTGCATTGCAAACAAGCTGAGCCGTGTGTGTGTGTGTGTGTGTGGGGGGGGATTTGATGACATTTGTTGAGACTAATTAATAAAGAACATGCAGATGTGTTAAACATCTGCATGCTCGTGTTCTGCGGGGAGGGTTTGTTTTCGGTCGCAGCTACATGCTCTCCTTGCTCAATCAAGCAGATAGCGGCGAATCGACGGCATGAGTGAGGAGGAAAGAGTGAAGGATAAGGGCAAACCGAAGAGATGTCTCCACACAAGACGCCAGAACATCTGCCTTCATTAAAAACCAGGGAATGCGTTGACGTCGCACAGTTGAATGCCTCACAATGGATACGTTGGACCTCGGGCCGTCAGTCAGTCTGTTCTGTCCTTCAAGTGTTCCACTCAGCCGGCCACCTGACCGCCGCACAAGATCCCCCGTCCCTCAGACGCCGCCGACATGCCCGAAGTTTGGGTCCTTTCCGGGGGAACAGCTGTCTGCAGCGACCCGGAGGGAGAGAGTGAGAGGGAGAGAGAGAGCTTTAAGAAAGGGGGGAGGGGGGACAACAATGCACGTTGGCACCATCTCCGAGAAAAAGAGTTGGAGGAGTTGGAGGATTGTTAAAAAAAAAAAAAAACACCATCTGGTCTCCACTTTGAACTCACTGATCAAAAGCTGTCGGCCGACTTTAATCGAAGCCCCCCCCCCCCCCCCCCTCATCCTGTTGTTTTCCCTGGAGCTCCCGTCCGCCTACTACCCCCGTTTCCCTGTACGCGTCGTCCCTCCCCCTCTCCTTCCCCCTCACCAACACCTCTCTCGACGAATTGAGGAACCGGCACATCTTTCATGTGCACGTAGAGGCTGCATCAAATGCGCTCGCTAAGCAGCCGGTGCATTTAAAACTCAAAGTGGACGTCTTTACTGAGTAGATGTGTACCGTGAAATCTGGAGGGGTGAAGAGGAGAAAAGCCCCCCGATTCCCACCCGAGGCTTTAAGAAGAATGGCTTTGCTTGTGTCTGTTCAAGGAGATAAAAAAAAACTATAGAAATTGATGGTCTGACAATAAAAATAGATGTACAGACATCAGGACATTAGTCCTCACTGAGCGGGACTGAGGTCTCTTCATAAGCCTTCCGTCGTTTGAAAGGAACGTTAATTAAAAGCCGGATTGAAGGTAATTAGCATTTGGTGTCCTTAGAAGTATCTTGGCGGGAAGACCAGAGCAGCGGATTGGCGGGACTGAAAAGTACAGCGCAGGAACACTTTCAGTGAATCGGCCTCTACATTTAGCTTCTACGCTAGCGCGCGTGTGTGTGTCTGCTCCTCTCTGTACTTCATCACCAGCACCAACACCATCACATCTGTCGCTTCGCCCCTGAGGTTCCCTCGGCAATCGGCGCCGTTCGCGCAAATTAGCCAGTCGCGCTGCTGAAAAACACCTATTGTGCTCAAAGCGTCGCTCGGCTTTAGCGCCGTGTTTAACGCGCGCACGCAACCTTTCACGCGCGCGCAACCCGCGCTCGATCAAACACAAAGGGGCCCGGAGAGGCCCGCGGGTTCACTGTGGCCAGCAGTCGTCCAGCATTCTTTCTGCAGTGGCCGGTGGAGAGATGCTTCAGGTGGGAGGGGGGGGGGGGGGGGTGTAACTGTCTAGGAGGAATATCTGTCTCCTGCTTTGGAATTCGGTGTGTGTGTGTGTGTGTGTGTGAGTATAGGGAGGAATATTGCACCTGAACCTCCTCCCTCTCAGGGGCTTCATGGCAGCTGAGCCAACATACAGCATCTGCACAGCCACGGGGTAAAAAGCAGTGTTGCTACACTTCCTGCCCCCCCCCCCACTCCTCTCACACACACACACACACACAGAATCACTCTCCGTCACTATACACACTTCCTTTGGCTTCGTCACAGCGGTGTCGGCGTGTGTCGTTAATTCTGTGTGGATCTCATCGCAGCCCATCGCTGCAATTCATGCAAATCCAAACAGTCCCCAGTTAGTGCATTAGTTTTACTGAGCGCAGATCCACTCGGTACACCTGCGGAACAGATGGCTGCACCGGCACCAAACCCACCACCAGCTATTTCCCCATGCGAGTCATCCGCGTCCCATGACGCCCTGCAGGTATTCCACCGCCACAAATGACACACGGCGACGACGCTGTGGACGAAACACGCGACTCACACCTGTAACAGTGTGCAAACTATCCTCCGATTGTGTTAAAAATGACACGCGTGAGTTCAAAATAAGAAGGAAAAATGTGTTTGCATGCACGTATGTTATAAAGACAATGGTTTGTTACAGGAAATACTTCATTATTAACATGGAGAAAACACATAAAGGACTAATGATCAGTTTGATCAGCTTCTGAAGACGCAACAAACACAACGTTACACTGTAGACTGTCTGTGGGGTAAATGTTTGTTTCACATGGGATCGGATTGATATGGAAATGAACATGCATCTTCAAAAACAAGCCCACCTTTGTCAATTAGGATAAATGAAGTTGTTTATTAGATTTGCATAATCTGTATGCTTGTTATTTTACAAACTGTTTTAATATTAAAAGTAGCGTGTCAACAGCGGCGTTGGTTGTTTTAATTGCGGCGCCTTGCGCCGTGGACTGTTTACTGTTTTCAAATTGCCATTTACCAAAACTTATTATAAAGTCAAGTTTCCCTTTGATTTTCTCCTTACAGCGCTGCTAATTAATATTTGAGAATAAAAATAGCAGACGTCCTCCCACACCTGCGAATTACACTATTTTTATTCCACAGCCTCAACTCGACCTCGTAGGTGGGTGGAAAGGAGATAACAATAGGGCATCACATTATTCTGCGGTAATTGCCTATTATTTGGGAGAAAATGCCGGCGCAAACTCTGATAAGATGTCACAACTGTTCTAAATGCTGCCACGGCGTTCTATAAAATGATCCAAATAAAAATAGGTTTCCTTGTGGTTTAAAGAGGAACATGTTAGGTGTGTCACAGCCGCATCAAAGCCTCTCAAATCTCTCTGCGGTCAAAGGGGGAAAAGAAGCGTATCAAGATGCAAGTCCAGGAAAAAAACTGAGAATGTTTGTTAGGATGTTTTCTTTTGAGGTTTCATGCTTTCTAAACAAATCCTACGGTAAATATTTAGTCTTTTCTGCAAGATGTCTGAGATGTTGTTCTTTATCCTTATTAGCCTTAATAAGCCACAGAAAATGTCAAAGCGCTGTGTTTGTCTCTGGCATGTACTGTAGTTCAGTGGAGGATGTTTGAGGATTCTGCCCGACCTTTTAATTGTGTTTCCTTTTTGCTTTTTTACTTTAGATCTGCCGCTCGTCAATCTCTCCGTGGACCCTCAGCCTGTTCTGGAGGGCAACCTCGTCAAGTTCCACTGCTCTGCAAAAGCCAACCCTCCCGTCACGCACTACAGGTGAGGTCATCACAACAGCCACATGTTGCCAAGGCGCCAATCTTCGATGATCCCGTAATGTACAAAAGAAAGAAAAGGCGGTGAGATTGACTTTAAATGAGGTGCTTTAAGAATGTTGCAGGTGGATGATGCATTTTCACATTAGGGTTTGGAGGGAGTTGGGGAGTGGGGGGGGGGGGGTGGATTCATCATCGCCAAGCATCTCATGAGGCCGCGACACCATTATATCTGCCCGCGGAGAAGAAAAACAATGAAACCTTATCAAGCTGATCAAATATAATGAAAACACGGTATACGTCGGGAAAAATCACCTGGGGAACCGTGTCCGGGGCTTTGTTGCACAGCTCCTTGCTTTGTGATCGTACCGTCTCCCTTGAACATTAAAACATCCCTCGGCGTGTTGCAGGGAGGTTGAAATCATAATGTGCACGACATCTGATGAAGCTGTCAAAGGTACAGCATTTCTCAGATTGGCTCGTGCTCCTTGGTATCCAGTCGAAAAGCAGGTTTACCCCCAAGTGGGGAAGGGGGGAGAGGGGGGTCCGCTCTGCTTTTATACCAGCTGCATGTTACAGTTGTGGTTGGATATGTCCAAATTGAAATACACTACGTTTTGGCTTTCAGCCCACGCTTTATTATATATTATTTGAAATGATTACATTTTGCGAAAATGGCATTTCCTGCGCACACATCTTCAATAACTTCTCCTCTAGAACATTTTGAGACACATTCTAAACAGAAGGAGCCCTTGGATATTTCTCTTTACGCCGTAGGCGAGCCCCCCGTCCAGTCTTTATCTTCATTACTCGCGCTTACAGTTTTGAGAACACGTTTTCAGTTTGGCTTGTTTTTGTAGGAAGGTTGTTGACAAAAACAAGCCCATTTCATTTGAACTTTCAAATTGCAACAGCAGAAAATCCGGGGAATGTGAAGGGATTCCATTACTCTCTGACGCCATTGTACACATGAAATACCGTTCATAGTTGTACATCAACAGCAGACTGCCAATTTCATGCTCCAGCTAACCCGGCAGACCTTTTACTTTGTATAAAGGTATCACCAGACAGAAAGTTGGTATTTGAAAATAAAATCTTCAAAACCCATTTTTTCTTTCTCTATTGATATATGAGGTTTGGTTGATTACCCAAATATTTTTCTCAGTATGCAGCCGTCTCCGTTGTTAGAATCAATTTGTTTTTCTTCTTACTCCATGTGTAATTTTGATGGAAAAGCTAAACAGACATTCAATTTTATATGAAGTATTGCGTGGCCATCTATAAGTGTTTTGTCAGGAGATAATTTTCTGTGTGGGAGGTTTTTAAAAAACTGGTTAAAAAAAAAAAAAAAAAGCGAATGAAATCGATAGCGGAGCGAATTGTCCGGCTCTGAATCTCATAATGCTACTTGGGAAACGAAATGGATGTACAACACGCTCACAGCTGGCAAAACCGAGATGTTGCCTTTTTGATGGATTCTGCCCTTTTGAGAAGGGAAAAGGGAGGAGGGAGGGCAGCGATGTTGTGCGAAAACAAGGTTTGTACTTGATTGTGTCGGCGCACAGCATAGACGGAACGTCTATTCCGCCTGCAAAGGGATTTCACCTCTATTGTTGGGAGACTGGATCAATGCTGGAATCACACTTCTCCCCGGGGCATCAAGAGCTCAGGTGCAGTGGCGGTTGAGATGTCTTTTTCCTTTCTTTTGACAAACTACAGAGTGAAAAATTGTTGCAGGTTGAAGCTTAAAGAGCATAAAGCTGCTGCTTCCCCGCTCTCTAATTTCCCTCTCTTTCTTCTTTTTTTCTCGTCTGGCTGTTTCTCCGCCAGTGACACAATCCGCCGTCGGATTTGACACCATCACAGGGACTAATCATTTTTGATACTTCAAGGTTATCCTCTCCACCACTTCCCCCAGTTTCATAGTCTCCCATTTAGATTTATCTGCAATTTACACAAGCGATTCAGGTCACCGTTGGCGTTCAGGGCATCGTGGTAGACGGGGTGGATTTTTGGACCCCGTAATGCCCCACAAACTCCCCTCTATAGAGCGATATCACCGAGGAGAGCGGGAAGCTGGTCAAGCAGTGCGGGGCCATTTCTCAGTGCTAATACACTCTGTCTACCCCAGATCAGATACGGCACAAGGACAGAGTGCTTCTTAGACAGATGGCCTCTTTTCAGTCCCCGAGAGAGTCATCCGTTCCCAATGTGCGCCGCGCCTCTCTGCCTTCCCCCGATCCGATGGACGCTCCAGACGCAGAGCCGAGATAGCGGGGCGACCACTCGAAGGGACGCCGCTTTCTGTTACCTGCGAAAACCCTTGTGACGGCCACGCCGGTTCAATAAATCTGACTTTAAGCACGGACGCAATACATTTACCCGGATACCTGAACCTCTGCCAGAAAACAAAGCTCAAGCGGGGGGGGGGGGGGGGAGCAAATAGGGGAGGAAGTGAGGGGCGTCGGAGGGGGGATTGGTGTGGAGGCGGCCATTAGAAGAGCAGATGAAAGTGGTGCTGAGAGTGTGAAAGAAGTAAGTAAGAGTAATGGGCATGCGTTCCACGGGGCTCTCAGGGAATCAACACTCTCTGAGAGGGTTAGCCCAGGGGGTCGGAACATCTTTATTATTGTGTTTTAATGGTAGGAGGGCTAACTGGCACACACCACAATCACTCAACCACCCTGTGATGAAGACACAGCGGGTTTCCTCTGATCCAAAAGAGAACTCACCAGAGGAATAACAAACAAAGCAAATCAGGTCCCTGGTCTGCATACACAGCGATGCACGGGGCGACAAACAAAAGCAACGTTCCAATGCTGCCGGCGCGAATATTCTCACTCGTTCTCGGCCATTGTTGGTCTTATTGCTGCTGGGTTGTTAGTTTGCTTCGGATGGACAAAACAATCACGGCGGCGTCCCTCTCTGCGAGCTTTGGAGGTGGCTAATTGATACACGCCGCTGTCATTCGCTCCGTTATTATTGCCTCTAGTGGCACAAACAAACCAAATTGCCAGGTGTAGCCGTGGCCGGTAAATACATAATAATGTGGTATTTCCCAATCCTACTCAAAGTATTTGCTTTCTCTTGTGCCCGCCTGCCCCTCCCCTCCTGTGCCATGTTCCTGCAGTCTGTCCATCGCTGCAAAGGACTCAACCACTAAGCTTTGGCCAAATGAATGTGTAATAATGTTACCTGAATGCAAATGAATGCGTTATGCAATATTCGACTAATTGATTTCTGCTACTTTCATTGGAAAAAAGTTGGCGACACTCCACAGTGCATTTTATTTTCCACAGTGAACTTAATTATTCAGCCATTTCTGCTACAAAGGACAATAACTGACAGTAACCAATCTAAACACTTTTTATGGTTACACTTTTTTCCCTCCTCATCTGAATTTTACAGTCCATATGGCGCAGTCTTTGTGTTTAAATAAATCACATCTACATATAATTTCGTACATGGACTTACTTCAGTTCCTTTGCAAAACATAAAAGAGCTGCGTAATTTATGTCCACGTCACATTAATGGTTTGTTAAAGCTAAACATGCATGGTTAACTTATTCTTGTCTCAGAATAAATACGCATGGTTAGGAAATAGAACGTCAGTGCACTATGCTGATAATAACTGTGGGGCCAGATGTATTGTGGCTCTTGATGTTGATGGCCCAGATACCTGCCTAATTTAATTGTTACCGTTTTATTACCTTAATTACATTCAGCAGATACAAAAGCCCCCCCCCCTCTTCCAGGTCTGTTTCATCCTCTGCTTTCATTAGCGGCAGACCTGTTTATCCGTACAACGGCGTCGGCTTACGGACCCACGTGAAAGCAGGCGCCGTCTACACACCCGTGTTTGCACACACACACAGAGACGCTCCGGCGTACGAGGTTTACACAGTGTGTCTGAATCAAATCCCCGAGTAGGATGCAGCGGTGTAAAGTGAGTCAGCTATTGAGCCCTCCTAACCTCCCAGAGGGAATGCAGGTGTTTGTGTTAGCCTGCCTGTGTTTAGACGCGAGTCTTGGACAAGGGCCCAGCACACCAACAGAGCCCCCCACCACCTCCCCCCCGCGATACACAGCGCTCTGTCTCCGCTCCTCCTAACAACGTCAAGGGCTCCCCGACCCGGCAGCCGATGAGCCCAGCCGGCTGCCCGAACATCTGTCCGCTGCAACTGCACCGGTACGAGCCGGGGGGAAGCGTAGGGGGGAAACCACCGTACCAGCGCTTGATGATCTTCACGTCCAGGTGGAGGTCGCCCCAGTTGTCATAGAAGTTGCAGTTGTTTTTCTGAACGTACTATTAGAGATTGGTGGTTAAAAGCTCCAGAGCTGCTACTTAAGGGAGGTGAGACTATTTTGTCAGCCACTGCTTTCCAGAATACGGACGAACTTTGAAACTACACCTTTTAAGCAGATGTGAACGTCCTCCAAGTGGTCCTGAGGGATGTAGAAATTGCAATATGCTGAGTAGGGATCGCTAACTTTAATGATGAAGACCGCGTTGCATGACCTAAAATGGCCACCAAACAGGCCTCCGGGGGAGATTGTGTTGTCGCCTGATTCAAAGAGCAAGCCTGAACTTTGTTGAACTCATTACCAGTGTAATTGTCATCATGATCATCATTGACATCTTCGTTGTTGTTGTCATCGCCATTATGAATATCATCCTTCTCATCCCTCTTCCTCATCATCAATACCATTGGTGTGATCCCGTCTTCAGCATGATGACCGGAATAATTAACACCTTCATCATCGTCCTCTTTGTCATCATCGCTGCAGAACACTCACAGTGATCTTCATATCCAGAGACACATTGATGTGAATATCAACAGTCATCGTCACCAACACAACAAATTCCACATTAATCTTTTGACACGCAGAATTCTCCTGGGTAATGCGGTACATTGGAGATATGACTAAGGGGGGGTCTACGTTACTCATTCCCGCCGCTGTCTAAGGTACCTGTCTGCACTATTTTCAACATTTTTGGAAACTCGGGTGTTCAAAGCTCTCAGCACGTAGTTACACAGGAACAAAACCCTTGAAGTATCCACAGCTGGGGTAAAAAAAAAACAATCCAATGAAGGCCAATTAGATTACTGCTTCACGTTGCTTACTGATTGAAAGAGGTAATCTGTTCTGATTTAAACGATAGCATTTCAGTCGAGCATGGGGCCAGATTAGTCATGGGAAACAAATGAGTTCCGTACCCCGTGAAAACTGCTCCCGGCACGGGAAGGAATACAAAACGGAAGGAGACGCATTGGTTCCATTGTCACTGTTTTCAGCGTGCAGCCACGTGTCTATTGTGGAGGTTGGCGGCGTTTGGATGCGCGATGCATCGTATCTTCCACAGCGGTGTCTAAACATCCTAAAGAGATCCGCGGATGCCTTTTTGCTTCACGTTTATAAAACGGGCCGTGTCTGTTTGCAGCAGCAAAACAGAGCCGTCCACACCACCCGTGACATCGTAAAAGTCTCACCCACGTCTGGTCCCGTGTCCCCGTCACGGGAGCTATCACTCACAAACACAAGCAGGTGTCCTCTCCGTGATCCCGCGTCGATGTATTAACATCAGCTGTTGTGTGCAATACAGTGCGTGTCGACCGACGTCTTCATAGGGACGAGGCGCTACCCATTTGTCACTCCTGTGATTTGTGTTCCTTCGCTGGCACTCTGAGCTGCTCTCGCTGCCGTAATGAGGAGCGCGCTGTCTCCTCCGAGTCACCGGGGAGCTTGTCACAGCACGGAGGGGCTGCCGCCAAAAGAAATGCTGAAGCCAGCGCAGGAAGCCTTCCCTAGAATTATGATTTATTCACACACAATAGTGCTATTGACATAAAGAGGTGTGAGAACTTGTCTCAGTGGCTCCCCCCCCCCGCTTTCCTTAGTTTATTTCCCTTGTGTTTTTACCGTCTCCCCTTGCTCTGCCTTCTAATCCTCTCAACAGGTGGGCCAAAGGGGGAAGCATAATCAAGGAGGTATCCGGAGACACGTACGAGGTCATCGTGGACCACTCCTTCTTCACCGAACCCGTTTCCTGCGACGTCACCAACCCCCTCGGCAGCACCAACGTCAGCCGCAACGTTGACGTCTACTGTGAGTGACTGCATTCCTATCGACGACGTCCGCGACGTGACGGTCGCTCGGTTTACGGATGTTGACTGTTTTGACCCTGAGCACCGAGAGCCGCCGCCGCCACCACAGGCCGGGAAACAATGGATGCGTTGTAGAAAGTCAATGCTGTTTATTTTCCACAGTTGGTCCTCGCATGGCCGCGGAGCCTCAGTCCTTGCAGGTGGACCTGGCATCTGACGCGGTCTTCAACTGTGCCTGGTCTGGAAATCCGTCCCTTACCATCGTGTGGATGAAGAGGGGATCCGGAGTGGTGGGTTTATTGATTTGCACTGCCGCCGGGCATGTTTTACATCCAGTCACGCGCCGTGGCTTAGAATCGCCCGGACGCCTTTGTCTGGTAAAGCGGAAGCTTTGAAACATCGGGGGATTGTAGCAGCGATAGCGCTTGTATGAACTACTGTAGGTATACAGTAAATATTCATCCAGAAATGCCCATTAAGCCTTCGGTCTTGAGGCCATTACAGTCCCAGCCAATTGGTGACCCGTCCTCTCACATCTGTTGATCTTATCCACAAAATGTAGATTCATTCAACATCAAAGGCCAAAGCCAAACCCCTTTACTCCACTAAGCTCAGACCCTAAATTGGATTTTAATAATTGAGGAGGGGTGCCCTTTTAAGGAATTAAATGGAGCCTTTCTTTCTTTCCATAACAATGCCTTGTTGCTTCCGCAAATGGTGCCTTTGCTCTAACTGCATTTAATCATCTTTGACTTTTTCCGCTGCAGGTTCTCAGCAATGAAAACCTCCTGACACTGAAATCCGTGCGACAGGAGGACGCCGGGAAGTACGTTTGTCGCGCTGTGGTTCCGCGCGTAGGAGCGGGGGAGAAGGAGGTTTCTCTCACTGTCAACGGTGAGCTTTATTATTGATATGTCTTTCATTCAGACAGGCTCAGGCGCACACCCACAAAGTTGTCAAATGCATAGACAGGCAAGCGTGAATCTTGAGGTCTGGGGTCAACGGCAACAAAAGGAAAGCAATTTGTCACAGGAGTCAGTCTTCTGCCTCCTCTGTGGTTTATAAAAGCCTTCCATCTCTCAACTTCCCACAGAATATGAAGCTTTTTTTTCTTGCCGTAGTCATTTATTTGTTTGCATTTCTTTTAATCCATCAGTTTCTCGGGGACACAGTTCATTTTAACAAGCATCCCCGTTAATAAAACACACGCCTTCATACACAAACACAGACAAACATGCATCAGAAGGAAGTGACACATATTGTGCCCATGCAAATGTATTTTCCTGTCAAATAAAGCCATTTCATCACCTGTATCCACAGTGAAGCCTCTAAGTCGAAAAAACAATGTATAGAGTCTTTTGAAGACACCGTCACACATTTCATAAACAGGTAAAATATACTTCAATGCTATTCATATTCTGCATGAGGCACTGGGAAGCTGCCTTTTTGAGGCACTAACTGACTAATGAATTCCAGCGTCGGGGGGGGACCTGGCAACTCTCAAACAAATGACTTCATTACAGGCGGTTGATATTCAGGGAGCGTGCTGCAATGTGGCAGAGATTCTTAGTTGTGAGATTTACACGTGTCTTATTTTCCTGAAGTCCATTTGAAAGAAGCCGGGGCCAACAAGAAAACTGAGGGGATTTTAAGAAGCTAAAGAATTGATGTTGAGTCGATGCTGACAGTGTACCATTGTACATTTAGAAAGCATACAAAAGAGTTTGCCTGTAAGCAACACCAGCGCTTATTTGGGGATGAGGATACATCAAGAGGCAAACAGTGTGTGTGTGTGTGTAAAGATTTTCTTTTCAAAAACCCCGATGCTGGCTTTGCATATCAGAGAGAATGGAATACCAGCATTCCCTCCAGCAAAGATCAGAACCGTGACTCTCGCTGAACGAGCCCCCTCCTCCTTAGCACGGAATTTGGTGGAAATCAAGGCAGAAGAGGCGGAAGAAAAAAAAAGCGTGACTAATTATATTGTCTTCAATTCCGTTGGACCTATACTTGCATCTTTTCTGCAGCCTTTATGTGTTAACAGAATACATAACATCCAACGGGCCCGTTATTTCAGAGAATTCTAAGAATGCGTTGCTAAAAAAACGCGCCATGAGAGAAAGAAGACGGATTGCTTTAATAACGATAAGAACATAACACAACTCAGAGCACATTAGGAGCCGCGCTACAGAAGCTTACATTTCATGTTTAGTGTCTGCAGATTGCATACCAGCAAGTCCTGGATCTCCTCCAGTCTCTTTATCATTTGCTTACATCCTCGCTTCTCTTGCGCCTTGTATCTCCCTGCCTGAATTGCTATTTGACATTCAAGAGCCTCCTTTCTTTTTACCCTTTTGAATAATTGAAATTCATCTCTTTTTTTTTTTTTTCCCCACCAAACCACATGAGGAATCTTGAGTCATTTCTTACCCGATCCTTGAGGCGAATCAGATTGGGAAATTTGTGAAAGTGCAAACACTGCAGTTAAAGTGGTGGCGCGTTGGAGGGGGGCGCGAGGGGGGGGGGGGGGGGCTCTCCTGAGGTCCATTGATTGTCCTACGCCAATGCCTGAACTGCAGATGAATGTGAGCACTCCTTATACCTCTCATCAGCCTTTAAGCCCTACATCACTGGCACTCAGCAGAACTCAATCTTTTTTCTGGCAGTGAATAACTAACACACCACGGACGGGCGAGCGTTTGAGGGTGGGGGGGGGCGGCACCGTGAACCAGCAAATATCGGGCAATGCTGTGCGTCTGCGTCACGTTTTAATGCCTCCCCGCAGTTATCCCCCGACTCCTCGGCGCCATCATGTAGATCACATGTGTTTAGAACTTGTCATTCCCTCCGTCTCTCTCTTCTGTGCCGTTGCGTGTCACCGGCTCCCGCTGTGGAATTCCAGGCGGGCGCGAGGATTCCCGCTCCCCCCCCCCTGGGGAAGAACGCCATTTAATTATAATCAAACAGCCAGCAGGGGAGAAAGTTTGCGTATGTGGTGGAGACATGTTGCTGACTGCGGTCAAACATTTTCCGAATTTTCGTAAAGATCCTCAGCATGTCAAGATGTGGCTGCATCACGTGTGACGAAGCACTCTCCATGCGTATGATTATGTATATGGCATGCATGGATTTTACCACAGTCCTGCAGAAGTCTGACATGGTTGAAAGGCTTCAGCTTGTGTACACGTTGATTTATGCAAGACATATTAATGAATATCCTCCCCAGCATGAGTAGATCTGCATGTTGTGTGGGGCAGATCAGTATGTATACGGGCACACGTGCAGTACTTGGGCCGCCTAGGGAGAAATAGCCCATTATGCCAGTAAGGGGGGGGGGGGGGGGGGGTCCGAAGAATCAGTGAATCTCCCACAGAGCACCGGGTTGTTATAGATTTCTTTTTTTCTACTGTTCATCTTTCTAGACGGCCTTTATGTGCCTAGTTAATTAGCATTCTAGCCTTTGTGAAACTGTCAATGACACCGTATAAAAAAGTGGAGAGGAATGAAGGAGAAAACTGTATTTAAAATGCGTCACGTGTCATCCGACTAGTTACATATCTACACGGTACATTCAAACTCACACAGGCTTTCCCCTATAGTGCTTTTAACAAGGCAGTAAGTGTAGTGACCGTTGTAGTTCCAGTATGGATCCCACCAGAGGCAGAACATGGGATGTGGATGTGGGCCAAAGCAATGTGGATCCTCGCCGTCCGAGCATTCAGGGGAAGAAAGTGTGTATTTTCTGCGCAAGCTAAACGTGTGACTTCCTCACCCGGACCAAACGGGGATGAAGGGGAAACGATTTGCGATTTTCACTCTGGATTGCAAGATGCAAAAAGATGAACTAAAAAGCAGGGAGATCATCCTTAATATCAACGGTAATGATAATTCCACTTTTTTTTTATAGCAAGGTAGATACAGAGCAATTATAGCATAATTACCCCTCCAACCAACCGATGGGTATATAGTGGAAGTGTTCTCAAAGTATAGAGTTTAATATTCCAAAACATTACTGGTGCAATACTCTTTATGTATTGGATATTGTCAGAATATCAAAGGGAAGACTTCAACATATAGACAAGATCTCCTCACCAACGCTGTTCCCCCAGAGGGAGACGTAGTCACCAGTGCCCGAACCAGACGTTTTGCTGGTTTTCAGTTGAACCATTTCTATTTTGTTCTTTCTTTAATCACAAAACCCCCCCGCCAGAAAAATCAAAGAAGTGGCACGAGGCGGCGAGTGAATGTCGAGCTCTCAGTCTTGGCAGTGAAACGTGGCCTTTTGAGGAACCTCATAGCAACGTCCACTCCAGAGTTAACACCTCCTCGAAGGACTGAGTGACACATCGGGCCCAACATTGTGATTACCTCCCATGCTGCTAGCATTGATGTTGTAGTGCCAACGCGCCCCCTCCTCCCCCCCCCCCCCCCACCTCCCTCCCCCGCTACCAACGTGTTTGTGCTCTGATCACATATTGTGAGTAGCGAGCAACGTACTCACATACGCGCACGTACTTTCAACCCAGCCTGAGCCGGTGAGATAAAGCTATCTAATTATATTCCTCATTTGCAGCTCTGATCCACTGAATAGATGCTTCCCTTCGCTACGACCGCGGCTTTAGCGGCCTGTAAACAAATGATGTTGCTGTTTGTTGACAGCCAAAGCGCATACAAAACCCCGTCCAGCAGTCACGAGTTAAATGGGATAGCTGGTGTGTTTTTGAAGTGGGATCGTACGAGGCACTCACACATGTTCCGTTTCGTTCGCAGAGACAGCCGTCACCTAAAAGTTGAGACTATTATATCTTCCAAAATCTGAAGTGTAGCAATATGTAGCAGTGACGATATTGTAAATGTTGCATTAATTCAAACGGACGTAACTTTGCTTTAGTCGGGCCTTTGTTTCGTGTGGCTAAAATACGTTCTGCTTTCCCCTTTAAGACCCGCACACCAAATAGTCCTTTCATGAACTGCAGCACATGCGCGTATACAAATACAGTCATGTTGACAAACCAGGAAAAGAAGGTGAACAGATGTCAATATTTATTTCTTTAATTCATCTACAGCATTGACTCGGCGGCAGTAGCAGCCTTCCAGCCCCCTCCAGTAGCACACCAAGGCGCCATCTGGCAAAGTCTCATTAAAATGCTAATTCATTTTAATAAGAGACAGGTAATAAACTGCAATTATGTATCGTCAGAGAGATGGCGGAGAGCGGGAATACGAGGGAAGTTGGCTCACTAATCAAGACTGCCTCACTTGCCGCCCCCTCGAAACCACATTTTTAACCTTAGCCATCGCCTGAGACGCGCTTAAAGGGATAGTTTGGGCGTGTTGAAGTGGGTTTGTATCAGGTACTTATCCCTACTCGGAGTATCACTCACACTGCAGAGTTTGGAGAAGCACAGGAGCAAAGCAGTGTGGACGCAGGACTGGTGTCACCCAGAGGGAGGCGCTCTTTGATTGAAAGCCAAGGTGCTTGAAACAGTCGCTGCTAGCAGTGCTAGCGGTGCTAACGGTGCTAACAGTGCAAACTGCGGCAAAAGTGCCGGCAGTGGTGACGTTGTTGATATGCTGTGATTTCGTCACATGTACAGTAACATACAAACATCATAAGGCAAATGAAATATTGTACATACATCAAGCTCAGAAACATGCACGGAACATTAAAGTGAAACTGTTTTTATTCAGCTGTCTTAAGTTGCTGCATACTTGAAAGGCAGTTTCGGGTGGTGTCTGAACATTTTGTCTTCATATTAGAGTGGTCCCCTGGTGTGAAAAGCCCACGGTCCAGATGGTGAGCGGACCTTCTCAGACGAGGTGTTGTGGCCTGATCGAGGTTTGACAGAAGGGCTCAAAGATTGAACTCACCCTGTTCAGATCATTTAGAATTCCAATAAAGCCATTCCATTTAATCTAAATTATTATGCAGGAAACCTGAATTTTACCCACACCGTTTAGAGACACCATGGTCCATTCTTCTCACTCTCTTGCCGGACGTTATCTTTTTAATTGTTTGGGGCTTTTTTTTACGCCAAGCTGTTCATCCCAGGGTTAAAGCTGCTGCAAGCAAATTGAATCAGGTGATACACAGCGACAAGTGTGTTATCTCTCCAAAATGGCATTTTTTTTTCCATCTGTGTCGTGCTGATTATGCTCCAGAGAACCTCTGTAGCTCTCCAGTGACGGTTGTCTCCACCAGAGAAATCAAGCCAGTCACAAATCAACAATTTCTTGATCGACAATAATATTCAGTGCCCTCTATTCAATGTCCTCGGCTAGATTCTACTGGGGGATGAGGCATGTTTATATTGCACTGCTATACATTAGCCCCCCAATTACTGAACACTTTGGGTGTTTCCGCTTGGAACAGGAGAGCAATTAGTATATAATGTACCACGGAAACCCGACTGAGCCCAGTTGTTGTATGTCCTGAAATGTAAAATGAATTGAATTATTTCAGTTTCTGTGAGTTGTGACTCATCTTTCAACCTTTTTATCATTGTTCATTGTTGTTTTCCTCAGGTCCCCCTACCATCTCCAGCACACAGACTCAGCAGGCGTTACATGGAGAAAAGGGACAAATCAAATGTTTCATTCGAAGCACACCCCCTCCAGACCGCATTGTGAGTACATGGCGCTACCTATTTTGTTCCCATCTCATCCTCGTCTCCTCAACTCTGCCGCGTGTAACTCCGGCCATGATATGTGATCTACGGTACATGAACAAAGCAACTTAGATTAAAGGATAATGAGCACCCTTGAGCTATTGATATAATGCCCGACTGTATTATTGATCAGTTAACAGCAAGAAAAGACAATAACAATGAGATAAGGAGAATGTTACAGCATTAGCGCCATAGTTTGTGCCCGTATGAAAAGGTGATCCTTATCATACAGTTTGAGCTGCCAGTTACTCATTTGATGCACACTTATGCTCCGTTAGCAGTGAACCCATTAAGATTGATGGACCTTATATAAACAGCCCACTCCCTGAGCTCGCGTTGTGCTTATTATTCATTTGTGTGTGTGTGTGTGTGTGTGTGTGTGTGTGTGTTTGCATATGAATGTGGTTAATTGGCATACTTTGTCATCCAATGTGTGCTTTTATTATATTGATGTCCAGCATTAACTAGCCACATAATTCATATCAGGTTTATGATGCAGAGGCTGGTCGTGGGTCTTAATACAAAGATTTTATTTACATTGTTGTATTTTACTTTTTGTCTAAAGTTATAACAAATGTCGAACCAGTACTTACTCATGTCAAATTTCATTTATGTGGCCAAGCATCACAGAGGCTTTTACAGTCTTTATAACAACAACATGTTGTTATATTCTAACAACTAAGGTGACTATTGTGTTTTAGACCCATACCTCACTTATTAGGCGCTTCAAAGATTACATTGAATATATTTATTTTTTGTGCTGTTGTCTATCAAAGAGCTGCCAATGTTAAATGGTTTGAAATGAATATAAATGTATACTTTACAGCATAGTTTGAAAAAACAAAATGTAAGACAATGTGCTCCGCAGTTTCCAATAAGAGACATTTTGTTTAAGTAGTTATTAACACTTGTTATGGAATATACATTTTTATAGAACTTTTTTGGATTTTCCTTTGTACCATCATGAGCATCTAATTTATTCAAAATGATGCATCGTATATATCTTACCTTATCTTTAAAAAGGGCTCCACATTGCTCGCAGTCAGTCTCCCAAAAGCCAAATCCAAAAAGCATCTTGTTGTAATTCTAAAAATGTGTTTTTAAGAGAGCTGCCTACAATGCATACTATTTACATCCGTCTATTAGCTCCAGATGCTCTCAGTGAAGTGGCAGCTTGTTAAACATAAATGAACAGCAGCAAGTGGCCAGTTAACAACAACATTTCAACCAAAAACCACTGTTAACATTTGCAGAATATAATAACTTCATATTATCTTTATAATAGATGGATATCCATCTGATTCTCTCTCTCAATCATGGAACTCTTGCCCCCAAAAAACGGTGTAACGCTTCCACGACCGGCATCAGCGAATGCCAGCTTAACACATAATTATCCTTCTACTGATATAGAACACTATCTACTCATGGTCATCTTTTGTTTCTGTGGAGATCTCCACAGGTAGCAACATAAAGCTTCCTGACATGGTGCCGCAATCATCCAAGAACATATTGTTGAAATATTGATCGCTGGTCGGCACCGTCCCATTAACACTTTCCAAAGAACGCACACATGCAGTAAGAGACAATTCCACCGATGAACACTCGGCGGGTTGCTTGGTCACCCTCAGCTCCACTCCCAGTCCCTGGTTCGGTCGGTGCGATACATTTGTTGTTGTTGTTATCAGAGTCAACGTTGAACAGATATCTGCAGCTCTGGTCAATGACCATATTGATGTGGCTGGTTCACATTTGACATGAGAAAACGTGCTGACTGTAATTTAAAAAAAAACATGTAGAGAACTTAAGAAAAGTTATAATAAATACTGTAAAATAATGTAAAATGATTTTTTTTCCACCGCAAAATTAAAATGATAATAATCGCTCAAAATGTTGGCCATATTTGTGTGTGGCTAATTTTTGCATTTAATTTTTTGGAAAATTTGCTAGAAAACACATAATTTGGACAAAGGTTTACCTGCTGGGAGCATGAATATCTGCACCCACTTTCATGGATTCCTATAGCAACAGTCTTTGAGATTCCAAACCAGATGCGGGAACCTCGTTGTGGCACTTTAGGAAATGCTTGTACACTGAACAGGAGATACAAACATTGCAGGGACGCAGCACCCAAACCATCGCTCCACAGCGCAACTAATGCTCAAAACGTCCAAAAACAAAAGCCATCATCCCCGTCTGCTCTGCCTCTTCTCAGGCCTGGTCATGGAAAGAAACCGTGCTGGAGTCTGGAACGTCCGGCCGCTACACCGTGGAGACCGTGACCACCGAGGAGGGAGTCATCTCCACGCTGACCATGAGCAACATCGTCCCGGCCGACTTCCAGACCATCTACAACTGCACGGCGTGGAACAGCTTCGGCTCGGACACGGAGATCATACGCCTTAAGGAACAAGGTGGGAGCCAAGGTTCGACACATTCCACCTTCCTCTTCTTCAGATTCAGATTCAGCTGCGCTTTGCTAGATGGCGGCGAAGCTCAGGCGTTTTGTGTGCAGCACGGACGTAGATTTGAATTAAAGATGACATGGTTTGTATTTTTCTTCGACACAGCAGATATGTACATGAACATTTTCTTTCTCTTTCAAATGAAAGGTGTTTGAAATGAAAACTCCACCAGGTTGGAGCTGATAATACAAAACTCTGAAACCTTTGATGTAAAGTTAGTCTGTGGGTGACATTTTGTAGATAAAGTTCCAACAAATGAGTTTTCTGGGTTAACATTATTTCATCTCCCCGGTGTCTTGAACCGGTGACCCAGAGCGTACGCTGCAACTGCGAACGAAAAACACACTGTGCTGTCTTTATGTTAAATAGAGACAAACTGCGTCTCCATTCCTCCAAAAATGAATACCATCCTCCTGTTGACCTTTTGCCCTCTACCGGGAGGGAGGCCGTGTTTTCCATCCACTCATCGCAAATGATAAATTATAAGCTGCTTATGTGAAAGTGACGTTGATCAACGAGGACATTAAACACACTTTAATGGTGTAGGAAGAGCTCTGGGTTGTTTTGCTTTTTTTTTTTTTTTTTATATGCTAGAAGGTCATAAACGTGGGCTGGTAACTCAGGCCGTTAAAGTGCGCCTTAATGAGAACCTTTAATGACGGAGCGGCATATAGATGCAGGTTTAATCTATTCCCCAGTCGCAAATGCACTATAACACCCTCCGAGAAACACACAAACATGATTATGCTTAAACTAATGCACACGGTCTTGTACTCTAATCAATTAAAACAAAATACCTTGGTGAAAGGCTTCTATTAGCCTAAATTGGTGTGAATTCAAAGTTATTAGACAACTTTGTCTCTATGCGATAATGACTCAAAGGTAGGGAAGTGTTTACCCTCAGCGATGACACCGGTTATGCCTTTTTGTTTGAGTTTCGGTGCGGCACTTTTTCGCGTTGCTCTGTGCTTGTGTATCTCCATTTGTCGCCCCGTGCCTCGGGGATGGCGTCAGATTCACTTAGAGGGACGCAAATACGGCGCGTCGTCGTCCCCTCAGTTGCCGCTGCCCCCCGACCCTGTTTACAATCAACATAAACGTGAGATGTTTTTGTTCTATCTGATCATCTCTCTGTCGCTCTCTGCAGAATCTCTCCCGGTTGCGGTGATCATTGGCATCGCCGTGGGAGCCTTTGTGGCCCTCATTGTCATCATGGGCACCATCGGAGCGTTCTGTTGCACACGCGCCCAGAGAAGTACGTATCCTCTCCCCCCGTTTCACCCACTGAAGCATGCAAGTACCGGATCGCCCCGAGGGCACAATAGCGAAACACAAAGTCCATCTATTTAGTGTTGGTATTGTTTTCATTAATCTGCTTGTATTCATTTGGCTGTCAACCGCTTCAAGACATTTCTGGTAAAAAAAAAAATACAAAGCGCTGCAACGTAGTGTCTGGCTGAGCAGAAGGTAACGTCACTCACTGCGACGGACTTCTTTTTGTGGTGCAGAAATACCCGTCTTGTTATAAGGGCCCATTTCATGCGATCTCCGTGTGGCTGCATTCGCTTCTGAGGCTATTTACATCCCGCGCTACGTTCACCGCCACCCACCCATGTACCGAGTGACTCAGGTTAGAGGCAGCCAGCCACTGTCTCTATCCTAGAACCAACATGTGCTACTGGTCCCTTCAGCATGTCTATTGTCTGTATACTACAGAGGAAGCGCACCTGGTTATGCCCTCACTGCCCGTCTCCATCTGTGCTCACCAGAGAGAACTTGCAAGCAAAATTAAGACAGAAAGTAAGACCTTGTTATATGACAGTATCATCAGCATTGCCCCAAACAGAACGGGCCGCCGTGGAGAGGCTGTGTGAGATTGCATATGTATGCCGAAAAAAAAGTTAATCTGGTGCTGGCGGGAAACAAGTGATTGATAATGCTGGGTATTGTTTTTTCGGGGGGGGGGGGGGGACCAGGGGAGCTCTCACAAACCAAAGCCAGGGATCTCTGCTAAGTTCTGCAATACCGCAAACGGCACTGAGGGGAAATTATAATGTCAACAAATACAGATTGGTGTTTGTCCAGCTTTATTGAGATACGCGCCTCATCTGTTTCTGCCAGATCTGAAAGGAGTCGTGTCGGCGAAAAACGACATCCGGGTGGAGATTGTGCACAAAGACCACAATGCAGCACGAGAGAACGAGGAGCACACCTCCATGAAACAACTGATGGTGAGTGTGAGTGTCGCAACATACTACTTTCCGCTCCTATAAAATGTATGTAAATGTACTTAATGTTCATTAAGCTAAGGTTGACATAATAAATGCACGTTGCTATTGTCATTGCTATTTCCTGTGGAACGAATGGTCTCGTAGATTATGTTCATTTCGATGGCTAATGGAAGAAAAGAAAAGCATCGCGCTTGTATATGGGATGTTTTCGAGGCATAGTGCCTGTATTTATTGGTGCGATGCCTCTCGTCCTATCAGCAGAACAGACCCCGATGCATTGTAATCACGCAGATGCACTCTGGGTAATCCCACAGTGGGTGTACTTCTGTATGTACGTGCCTTGCAGACACACAAAGAACTGTTTCCTCTTTGGAACTGTACCAGTGTTTGGTTTCCACGTAGCTCGCTCCAGGGCTCGGGCTATTTGCAGTGGAAGGTTTTTACAATTCACGTAAGTGCTGGAAAAATCAGCTTCCTGTAGCTCCCCTACACATCTGCATTCTGTTAATATAAATTAAATATACTCACTTATGTACTATTTAGGCTTTCTGCCAGCGCTGAGTGAAGGTGAAACATTTTGACTGCCATTTAAAAGAAAGAAGTGGTGATGAGTAAAATTCCTTCTTCTCTGACTTCTGCTCCGACTGGTTGATTTCGGTGAACCTCACAGGCTCTTTGCATGTTCCTCACTTTATTGATCAGCAGGTTGAACGAGGAGAGTTCCAGCAGGAGTCTGTACTGAAGCAACTGGAGGTGCTGCAGGAGGAAGAGAAGGAGTATCAGCACATTAAGGTACGAGGGAGGGAGGGAGAGAGGGAGAGAGGGAGGGAGGGAGAGAGGGAGAGAGGGAGGGAGGGAGGGAGGGAGAGAGGGAGAGAGGGAGAGAGGGAGAGAGGGAGACTACAGCGTTGCCTTCATCAACTCTGGGATTTAAAGAGCAAAGAGGACCTCACCTCTCACTTAATAGGGGTGATTTAAGGGGATGAATCCACAGCCTAAATAACTCCTGTCGGAGGTCTGCTTTGTATGAATTTGTGTCATTAAAGGTGGTTCAGGGAATAAAAGGTTGGTTGGTCCAGCTGTTCTTTAAATGACAGGGTGTTACTTCCATCACACAGATGAGAATGTGGTTCTATAAGAGACATAAAGGACTCAGTCTGTATTTATTCAATTCAGATTTGGATATAATCTCAGCAGAATTTCGGTGACGTTGTATTATTACGTACTCAATTAGTATTATGTGCTTATCTTGCACTCCTCAACTCATCCGGTCATTTAAGCACAGTCTAAATCAAGAGCTTCAAATAGGATTCACACAACCATTTTTATTTCTGAGTTGTAAGTGTTTCAGGTGTGCGTGTGAAGTCTCAGCGGTATTACCGTTAGACACTCAATCCTTCCTTTGCAGGGTAAAAAGCTAAATCTCCGGAGACAACACACTGATGAGGTTAAACTCTAACTGGAAACATGTGTTTTACTAATTCAGAATGAGGGCTCATCACGCTATCCGAATCACACCTCGTCAGACGTCATTAACCCTTTAGTCACGTGGTCGTAACAGTCTTATGCAGCTGGCACCAGCAAATGAGCATCAGTGGGGGGGATCAAATATCCCCTTTTGACATCAACATATGCTGACATGTCCTTTAAATTAGAAAAAGGACTGAAATGGTGGTCGGATCCAACCAAATGTGTCTCATTGAGTGATGCCAGGATTGAATGAATAGGCTAAAATAAAACCGACTGTACTGATATTAATAGCTGACTGGCCATTTGCATGTCAGTGAATGCATCAGTCTGTACAGATGAGGCCTTTTGAATCCATTCCTCCCGTTGCGCACGAAAGCACTTTGCAACTTGTACCAATAAGTGATCCGCGTGTGATTTGGCAAAGTGCACACATTCATGTTTAATGCCGGTTTTAACTCACGTGAAAGACACGTTCTCTTCCATCAATCTACTTTCGGAAGCGAGCTTTAGAATTCAAATGACTGGAGGCGCACATCTGGCACGCGTGTCCACTGGGATTCAAAGATGATCTCTTTAGCATTTGTCTGTCAAAGGTTTCCCTTTAAAACACTTTTACACCAATAAGTCAAGGATTTATATGCTAATTGTGAAACTCACTGAGGTATCTGATGAAATAAAATGATGATTTTGTGAAAGTATAACGGATAGGTAGGAATACTAGATATTCTTTTCATTTGGGGTATTATGTATTTAAAACCAAATATGTTTGTTGCTTTGCTCACATTTCAGTACCACTGTCAAAAGTGTTTTAAATAATCATAAGAAATATTCACTACAGTTCCTGCGTATAACAAACTGTCACAACAAAAATTAGATTCAGTTTAATCGTAAAAGACACTTTGGTCTGTCCTTAAATCTTCAATGCATCGTAACAGCCTCCCTGTAACGTCCTGTTATTTTTGTAGGATTAATACTGAAGTAGAAGTTAGTGGTTAGTTTTCCCAGAGAAGACACTTGGTGCTTTTCATGTAAATCCATCACAAGGGATTCTCTCCGTGGGTGTTTATTTCACCTCTGACCTCTGCCGTTGCCCGCAGGCCCGTCGATGAGCGCTCGCTCTCGCCGCGGTTTACATTCCACAAAGATGATGTCACCTTTCTGACCCCCCCCCTTCCCGTACGAGGTGACATGTCTGTCGGGTCTCTGAAACGCAGCGCAGCTAATCAGCGCCACGGAAACCGACCGCGACCCGTTCATTAGTCCTTTTGTCCGTGGGCTCCCTGGAGTGGGCTTCTGTTTGCGTGCTCACCTGCCCCCCTCACCCCTCTCCCCCACGTCGGGGGAGGGAATTTTTGATCCTAGTTAATGGCAGCGCGCACGAGGCGAGAGCAGGGGGGGGAGCTGAACAAGAGACGAGGGCCAGACACAAACAGTCTCCCTCACTGCTGCCTGATAATGTCGAGCCTAACGAGAGTCTGCTCAGGTTCTCTCTCTCTCTCGTTCGCCCATTAGCAGCATTCTTCCTTTTGGATCTGCCGCCATGCTTGACATTCACGCACACGCACGCACGCACACACTCGTGCCCTAAATGGACCCTTAGCAACAGCACGGCGCCTGCAGCTTAGCAGACAAACGGCGCAGCTGCAGCCTCCGAGGCCGTTCCAGCGCGAACACGGAATCACAGACAGGACGATTCGTTAAGGTCCAATTAAAGCGGGTTTGTGCGTGAACTCTGCAGTGACACGCCGGATGCCAAGCTATGAATCATAGAAGGGCCGCGTAATTAACGAGAAACATGATTTTAAGGTTAGCATGGGGGCTGAGCAAATCCTAGCGCTAAGCTTCCTTATTTACTTAGAATTTGGAGAGGTAATTATTGCCGGTTTGACCTTGGCTTCCGCTGCGCCTTGAGAAAACGCGTGTAACTAAGGGGCTGTTTTTTCTTTTCACCTTCTTTGTCCTTTAATAATTAGGCACAGCCCCCCCCCCCCAAAAAAATATACAATTATAATGATGTGAATAATTTCTTTTATTTTTTTGTAGGACCCTACAAACGGCTACTACAGCGTCAACACCTTTAAGGAGCACCACACGCCGACCATGGCGGGCAGTCAGTCCGCCGAAGTGAGGAACCCGGCCGGCACGGCCACCCTGGGCAAGCAGCGGGTGCCGACGGGCATGTCCTTCACCAACATCTACTCCACCCTGGGAGCGGGTCCCAACCGCCTGTACGACTACAGCCAGCGCTTCGTGCTGGGAATGGGCAGCAGCTCCATCGAGCTGTGCGAGCGGGAGTTCCAGCGCGGCTCGCTCAGCGACTCCGGCTCCTTCATCGACACGCAGTGCGACAGCAGCGTCAGCAGCTACAGCAAGCCGGACGGCTACGTGCAGTTCGACAAGGACAGCAAGGCGTCGGCCTCCTCCTCCTCCCACTACTCCCAGTCCTCCTCGCAGAACTCGGACCTCACCCGGCCGCTGCAGAAGCGCATGCAGACCCACGTCTGACCGCCAGGATGGCGGTGGGGGGGCAGGGGGCAGGAGTCAGCAGGAGCTGACACAAACTGACACAATCAGCTCCCACGAGCCTGAACACCTGGAGATGTTTGGGGCTGGTTGGCTTTAATTCATCACAGACGTGTTCAGACTTCAACAAGAAGCCTTATATTTCCCCTCATGCTAAACTCATCAACCGCCTCCTTTAGTTATGCCCATAGTCATGATCGTGCCACGGCGGGGTTATTTGCACACACAGAGACCACATGCATTTGAAAATGTTGAACATTCAACACCCTGTTTGTGCAGAGGAATTACTAGCAGAGTGCAGGAACGCTCCGCTGGCAAAGACCCGTTTGGCCTTTTTGAAGAAACGTCATTCAGGAAAACTGGGTGTGAAGTTGAGGACAATGAGTGCGAGCCAACGTCCTGCAGCTCTCTTGTGATTCGAAGCACAACAATGAATGTGCATGTGGTTTTCAGTTGTTAAAGCAATAACTCTTCCCGTCTCCCCACCTTCTGCTCAAACACCGTTTGTTAGGCCCGGCTTGTTGGAACACATCTCCTGCGTGGGCGCTGGGAAACTTCTCCATGTGCCCGCAGACGCCTTGAACGTTGCAAACGAACCGCCGTTTTAGTTTTTCCTCTCTGCAGCGGTATCTGGGCCACGGAGCTGGGCAGATCAAGAGGGGGGCTGAGATCTCCTTTTAAATCCCTGACTCGTTATTTTACTGTGACACAAAAAAGAAAAATATCAGTGTATATACGGGACTGTCTTTTATTTTCTAGCATCTAACTTCTGACTCTGATGTTCTCACGGAGGACTCGTCCACGTCTACTTTGCCTTCAGGCTCCGTTTGATCTGTGTCGATACGAACCCTGAGTAAGCGAGAAACACTATCGCTGTCCACCCCTCTGCTGATCCAAGGAGTGCAGCGCGTGTTGTGCTCGTGAGTTTCTGCAGCGATCTCTGCAGATCGTCCGCTGATACCCGCTGAAGGGAATGCAAACAGTAAACTTTAGCTCAGCTTCTTATTGTGTGCTTCTTCTATTGATATTGTCAATATGAGTGTTGACACTGGAGCTTAGCGCACAGGGACTGTGTACCTCCCTGTGATCGTGGCGGTCATCGCGGGGTATGTAGAGCATTTTGTTCTCTTTTTACTCTGCTTTTCTTCTTTTTTTTTTTTTTTTTTTTTTTCGGGCTACTGTGGAACTGATTGTGTTACACAGACTCTTTTCAAGTGCATCCTTTTATTTGGTTCCGTTCTGCAAAGTAAGTGACAAAAATGAAATTGGATTTATTATTTAATCCCTGACACAGCATTAGTCTCGGTTGGGAGTAGGGACAGTAGTGATTTAACCACACAAAGGCTCACACTTGACACTTGAATTTCAAAGGGAGCTTGTTGATGTCAGGCATCGGGCACGTTTGCTCGGAGAACATCACCGGGCAGCGAGGCTTCATTTGCAGTACTCAAGGTGCAGATACCAATTGGGCAAAAAGACCCAATCTTCATTATCAGACGCGACCACACGTGCACTATGATGAGTTAACTTTGGACATCAAAATGTACTTAACAACGTCTATTTGGAGCAGCGTAAAAGCCGGTCTTTCATTGGTAAACCTTTCGATAAATTCCATAATCACACTTGCATAACGCACAAAGTCCCGTTCAGCCACACTTACGAGGATCAGCTTGTTTGTTTTTCAATCAGAGTCCCTGCAAAACAACGGCAGCTTGCAGCGGAAAACCGTGGCTCGCAATTTCGGTTCGTCAGATCAAACTAGAATGTGACGAGAAAGTATATTAGGTCACGACCCGTCTTGGACTGGGTCGTTTTTCAGCGTATTCCACAGCGGTGCAGTCCGTTGGGAAGAAGAAAGCCAGAAAACCAACACTGAATAAACAACAAAAACCGACTCAGCATCTCAAACAACAGCAAGTTGTTGCTGTAAGCACTTTATCTTTGATTATATTCAGGCCATTTGAAAGGAGTTTCCACTTGAATGGCAGCGGTTTGGACTTTAATTTTACAAATGGATTAGCGCCCATTGTACAGCTTAAGACAAAAAGCTCTGTTTCACCGCTGATAATCCACTTTGGCACTTAGCAGACTGTATATAAATCTCTAATGCTGTCTTGTATATCATTTCTCCCGGCTTTTCTGCTCTCGCTCCGTCCCATTTCAGTGTACTAGAGCTCCACCGATCCGCGTGGCATCAAAACTCGGTACGGTAGACAATCATTTTCTCTTTGTTTCCCTCCCAAAAAATATCATCAACCGTACTGGTTTCTCATAAATTCCACAAAAAGCTTGTGTGAGCAGTCCCCCCCCCCCCATCTCCCCATCTCACGGGGGAAAACCCACAATCTGTACACGGAGCACACAGGAGGCTATAGGATGAGAAGCCCAGCTTAGCTGGGACAGCTTTGAAGTGAGCTGCAGTGAGAGGTTATTATACCTTCAGCCCTTCTGAGAGATGCCCAGATGCACAGAAATATATTGCATTCGGCAGCGTGATCACTGCCAAGTTGACGTCTGCCGTTTTCCTCATATATTTTTCTCAGCACTTACGAGTGCGGCATCGAATTCTTACCTCCATGTTGGCAAAGGTCCATTGCAGTGTGATCTGTTTTTTTAAACAGGACGGGATACGGTGCATTTCCTCATTTGCATGTGCGACGCTAATAAATTCAAACATGGTGCCCTTTCAAAAACGCGTCAGAAGGCCGACGTTCAGAGCGTCTCCCCCTCAGAAACAAAAACAAATTCGCCATCCGCTCCGGTCGTACTTATCTGATGCGACTCCAGCGCCGATCCAGACATAATGCATCTCCCCGGGCCAGAGAATCAGCACCCGGCACCGCAAACGGATAAATATTTGATAGGCCAGCCTTTTGTCACCCCCCCACCCGACCCCACGGCAGCACAGGAAGCGCAGGGCCATGTCAGTCCTGGGGACTGGAAGCCCGTGCGGGGGACGAGGTCGGCCCCGCTCACCTGCGCCGGCTTGGCCCGCGAGCAGCGCGCAGGTGCCAGAGCAGCGCAGGTGAATAAACACAAAGACCGGAGCAATTACAAGGGAGCGGCTGCCCTTTGCTGATAAAAGAAAGTAACCTTTTCGGAGCGGAGGATGCAGGCTGCTCCGTGTTATTCACAGCGCTGGATGGGGACGATTAGAAGTCGAGGTCACGAGGGGCGGGAGGTGTTTCGCCAACTCGCCGTATCGGTTCACGGCGCCAAACTTTTTGCTTGGTCTTAATAGAAGGGACGGAGAAATGCTGAACATCAGTACCGCCAACGTATCGACCGACGCCTGCAGAGGCGCGGTTAACAGGACGCGATCCGAAGCCTCTCTCGTTACACCGTCCGTGATAGAAGATGGGAAACATTGAATTGATCAGGATAACCATTTCATTACTATGTAAATGCTTTGTGTCACTCTGCTCTTCTCTTTCTCTCTCACTTCTTTGCTTTTCTACCAATCAATACCTTGTTAGTACTTTAATAACATGCAACTGTAAGGAAAAGGGGCCCGGACTAAATCACTCAGTGTTTGCTGTAGTCTGCATACAGCGAACGACGGGTTCACAGATGATTGAAGGAATCACAGCAAAGCATTTGGAAGTCAAGTGAGCATGCTTCTCTCTGATTGGTCAAATTGTTCTGCACTCCAGATTAGTACTACAAGACCCGGCTTTGAAAAAGTACTTAACGTACGTGGTCATTTAGCGAGTTTGTATAAATAGTGAACCATACGCGTTATTGTAATGAAAGGACAACATGTAAATTCTACTGGGCAAACCACTATTTTCAGTCAGTGGGCCTCTCTATCTAAGAAAAAAAAAGAAAATGGTTGTATTTTAACTCGTACTGGTCTGTGAATCTATGATACTTTTGCTCTGTATATTTGGAGAATAAAAATGATGTTTGAGTTTGTGTTTAATTCGCACTGTTGTCTTTATAGAGTCACATGCACACGGTACATTTTAAGTCCTTGACTCGGAAGTTCAGTTGGATATTTGTGGAGAATAAGATTCCCAAGCTGAGCTTTCGTGATCAGTTCTGACGGAGGTGGTCTCACTGAGGCCCGAAACTTAACCATGAGGCTTTAATGCATATGTCTTGGAAAATGAATTGACTAAGGACTGTGAATATATGGGAAGCAAGCTGAATTAACATTAACATTCCAGAAAAACGGAGAAACACTGTAAGTGAAAAAGCACTTGAAACACACTGAAAATATAAAATGTATTAGAGAGTCGTTCACTGTTTAAATGCCAATTATTTACGAGGATTTGTTTCTATAAATCCACGATAATAAATATGAATATAAAAAAACATTGAATTGAATAAACATGAATAAACACAGTGACACACAGGTCGCTACAAGTGAAGCAGAACTGAAGTTCTGAGGATTAAGCACAGATGGTACGGGCGAGGTTTCCAAAAGAGGTATTTGTTGGTATTTTTTCTTTTTTCAATATCTCAGCGAATCCTGGCTCGATTTAAAGGTCCAATCCGCCCTTTCAATCATAACAGCCAATAGATTTGGGCGAGACGCAAGTAGAGAAGAGTGACAGCTCCGGTATCCAGTCACCATCAAAATAACTGGGGAGAAAACATTTTCAACATGAGTTCCTCCACAGAAGCTCAAAATGGACCCTCAAACAAGGAGGAAGGGTTTGTGTGTAACACAGCGTGGCAGGTGAACATTTATCAGCTGAAAGATGCCTGAAAAAACACTTTTCTTCCTTGAAAACGGCAACGGTGAGGAACGTTTCTGATTGCAAAGCGATCACGAGATTTGTGTGCCTGGTGTTTGTTGGCTGACGCCACGGCGACGGTCTGACTGAGAGATGTCACAGATACGTGTGCAGTCTGTGTGTCAACACACACTTCTTTCCTGTTGTCTCGATTTGTTGTTAGCAACAATCATGTTAGCATGATGTTTCTCACTCGGGACCCTCGGGGGTTAAAAGTTGGCTCGTTACAGCCAGCATGGCATCGCTCATATCGCATGTGATTTTGTTTGTCCTAATGACGGATTCAAATTTCTGCAGGCATTTAAGTTACAAAAGTGTGAGTTCTTTGACAAAAAAATTGATTTGGATCATTATGCAACCATCATGAATCTACTATCCTCTGTTTGCTTAATGCATTCCCTGCTGTCCGTATAATTTCCCAGGCCTCAATTTAATTTGCTATGATTCAAAATAAACTAAAGCAATTTGACAATCTTTAGTTTCTACTGTCTGTAAGTTAGCGCTGTCCATCAGAAATAACTATAGTCTGACATAAGACCAAGAAACCGCATGTAGGCCTCGCTGATATTTTTAGTACGATGTGTGTAGGTTGTTGTTTTGATTGCGTGTTTACTAAATGCAGCTCCTTACAGCTGCTTCTGATGTGCATCAGTTCAGGAATCACGATCCACGATTACCAAAATATGTTAGATATGCAAGGAATTTGATTTGGCGGTAGGTGCATAACAACGGACAGTAAGACAATGGACAACAAGACAGATAAGAGCAACATGGTGAAGATCCCCTTATATTCTTTAGGAATAGTGGCGCATGGATTGAAACCCTCCCAGCGTCAAATGTCCGATTCCTCCGTCACCAACTCGCGGCCTTCCAGTCGCCAGTGGTCCACTCCCGTGTTTTGGATCAAGCATGCTTTTACAGTATTTTCAGTTTATTCCCTCCCGTGATCTTTCCCTCGGCCGCCAGCAGATCGGCACAAATACATTTACACTTTGAATCCATTAACAGGAATGAAATGAAGTCACATGAGCACCTCAGCTTTAAAGTGATTATAATTCCCTCATAAACAGAGTCCATACGATGCATGGGCAATTACTTCTTTTGACCACTAATCCACTTGCAGTCTGCATTGAAAGGAAGAAAGTCTTTTCCCGCAACACATGGAACCAGCAGGCGGACGGACAAAGAAGCCGCTGCAGGTAACCTCAAAGCCAGCGCTGTAACCAGTCTGATCTTGATATTCAGACTCCCATCTGCCAGCAACAAGAGTTCTCTGGAAAAGCTCCCTTTTGCTGAATATAAAAATGCTCGTGTTGTGCAAACATTTTACAAACGGCTCCATTTGTGATGGATTTGACTAATCGCGGGGATCCAGCTCATTCCTGAGCAGATCTAAGCCAGACGTTTGCTTACAATATTGCTTTAAACGCTCTCGTTGGAACTAGTTATTGGAAGGCACTTATCATTCATTCCTGCCCATCCAGACAAAGTCGAGAGCTTGCCGAGCTCCTCGTGGGCTTCACCTCCTCCAAGAGATGCAGTGCTTTCCCAAAACGATATACGCAAACGAGTTTGCGTCCTTTCAAACGAGTAGGAACGGCCAACCACTCGGAAACGAATTATGCGTTGGCATTTGGAATCCAATTCGACAAAGGCGCGAGTTTAAAAAGGAACTCCCCGTTACAAGATCATCCACAGGCAGGTATTTACAGAGAACCGGCACGGACCGGCAGGCTGGAGCGACCATGCTGAGCCATTAGGATCCCCAACAAAAAAAAAACGACATGGTTTTGTCGAGGTCATTATTTCGCCGTGCGTTGGCCAACGTTTACACCGAGACAAGAATTTGTGTCTCCGTTGTCTCATTGGATTTCCAGTCAAACTTGTTTATGATCTCCAAACCATAAACCATCTGGTCTCGTTGCGTGCTGGAAGATTTAGTTTGAGTGACGTGTTGAAGCGAAACTCCACACTGCTGCTTCTTTGATGCAATTGCCTATGAAATGCCTACTTTATGGTCATCTGTTTATTAGGGGCAGCTGTTTCAACACCAAACTCTCTCAACCAGCATCTGTCTTTTAGAGAATCATGGAGGTGTGAGAGAATCTCTCCCCACCCCAAAACCCCCCCGAATAAATCACATTTCAGCCAATATAGCTGCACATGTGGAGGGAAATAATGTGTGGAAAAAGAGATAGTTTGAAGGATCCTTATTGCGCTTCTGGAGGTCTCGTCTCGCATCTGCCACGTGGCTCTTTGATTGACGACTTGGTGAATCTTTTACGCCGGGCAGGTTTGTAGCACTCGATCCGACGCGGCTTCCGGACGGCTGCTCTCAGCAGGGCTGCATTATTTAAAGAGGAGGCGCTTTGGGCTCAGACATCCGTGTCAAATGAATGAAACGTCGTTTTCCCATCACAAAGTATTTTCTTTTTTTGCAAAAACGTTTAATTCTAAAGAACTCATGAATCACAGAAAAAATGGCTCCTCGTCATGTGTAGTTTTGAAAAAGATCAAATGATTCACGACATCGTGTTCTCTTGTATTTCAATATACCAAATTCATTTTTAGGGCACAACTGATTTTTGCGATGAGAACTGTTCTTTGTCCCACAACCTTCTTCTTCCCCTCCACAAAGTTTCTGCAATAGATTAAATTGCAGAAACTTTGCTTAGTCCAGCTTTGTAAGTACTATCACAAGTGCGTCTCCCTTCCAGCGCCGAAGGGGTAAATAAAACAAAACCTCCGTGGCCTTGTGAGGCCACTGAAAATCGACTGGGGTGGGGCAATTCTTTTTTTTCTACCCTTGGGTTGTGGATTTAAAGTCGGTTAAGATAAATAAATCTCCCCCCTGATTACAAGGCGACTGCAGAGTCAATCCTAGGGCGCATCTTAAATGAATTATTGATCCCATGACCTTTCCCTGTGTTAAGGTATAAGCTCTTGTTTGTTCCAGCGCTGTTGACCAGACTCACACTGCTGGCCGTTTGAGTCGATCAAATATTAGCTTTTGCTTATTAGACTGTTAATTATTCTGGCTGTATTCGCACGCGATCATCACAAGGCGAGTGGGCGTGTTTCACTAAACGCGTCTCAGGAGGAATGCACACTTGTGTGTGTGAATCTGAACTTATTCATGGTGAAAATGACTGAAAGGACGTTTTCAGCGCTGGAGTTGCACAGTGTCCTTGACATTTGAGATTGTGTATTAACGGAAAAGTTAACGTAACAATCTTGTCAATCGTGTACATGATGTTTCTTCCACTCTAGGTTTGACGAAGGCTTGTTGACAGAGAATCTTCTGAATCGAGTCCTAATGTGCCGGTTTAGAGGATAGAAATACCCCGGTTAATCTCCTGCCAGTTACGACGTGATAGATGCATCTTCTGCTCTAATTGAATCTCTGGCGTGTTGGTATTTTGCAAATGTAGACAGAGTGAAGTATGAAAATTGTCACAGGCTGATATTAGAAAAGGAGCGCGGCCAATTTTTAAGCAAATTGAACGTCTGCACAAAACAATCATCTTATTCCTAATTAAGGCTGGGTCTGCTCTTCAGTGCAGAGGGCTCTTTCTGGTGCTTGGAGCTCTTGAATTGCTTTTCATTTGGAGCGCGTTCAAAACAAATGGAACAGACGTGACATTTGGAGAGCGAGCCTCTCTTACTGCTACTCCATTTGTTGGACTTGGTCTTTTGGAGTCGGAAGCACGCGAGAAAGTGTTGGCTGGTATGAATATTAACGACCCCTGGACGGCGGACACGGGGCTATTTTCTCAGAGAATAACAGAGTTGTGTCGGCAGTTCTGAAAGTTTATCTGGTTAATTCCTGTAAATCACGATGAAACGTTGTTGATTGCATTTTGATGAAAGACGTAGATGACCTTTATTTTTAGTTAATCCCCTGAAAGAGGGGAAGAAAAAAACTGAACTCTATCCCAAAGCTAAAATACAGATGAAAAGACCTCATTCTCTGATGTTATCAAGAGAGAGGTGTTTGAGCACTTCAATGATAACCAATAGAAGATTAAGTTTTGTTTTTTGCTTTTGATCGGTTTGAGATGGAACTATTTGCACAAATATTGACACGTCGCCCATTCATGGATTAACCATTTTGGCGTCGGTTACGCCGAAGTTTCGTGGGCGACGCCCACTTCACAAAGAGCACAACACGTGTGATGGA